GGTGTGTTGTGGGGTTGTATATAATTATTTATAATATATTTATGTAAAAAAGCTCAGGGTAGCTAGGAAGAGTAGGTTTCTTGAAATTAAAGTGCACTTGTCCTTTGAGAAGACATATATGATCACAAAGCTGCAGCATAAGGTGGTGATGACTATAATAGGTTTTCTTACTGTTTGAATCATGAAGCTATAAAATATTTATGAGCTATACCTATTTACTTGAAAATCCAGTATCTTTATACTATAATACTTTTTCCCTTGAAAGCATTTCTGGATAGTGGCATTCTTCCACAGGCCAAACGATGTGTACTCTTTAAGGACTATCACAATATAAATTATTCAAGCTTCATTTCATATTTTATAACAGAGTTGTATTTTGGACATGAATTGGAAGACACATAAACTAAATGGCATTGTGAACTGTACGCACGGAAAGTTCATTTCAAGCAGTGTACAAGTATGAGCCTTTGGCTGAGTCTGAGCACAAATGGATATACTACAGCCTGGTGTCTGAGATAGAAAACATCTTCCATCAGTAAACACCATATAGAAAGCTAGCAGGTGGAATTTAGAAAGTAGCAACAAATGCTATTTTCCCCTTTCGTGCCGATCTTTGAGTCAGAAGGATAACTAACTAAGGTATTGCTTCAGTGAGCCCTTTGTATAAAACTCCTCATTGCTGACCCTGGTATGTCTCCAAAGGGAGCAACAAATAAGTCTTTGGCACAACACAGAATTTTAAATAGGATAAAGGTATAAATCCTCCATCCTTTTGGGGAAACCCTTTTAAGAAGGATTACCGAGACAAGACTGCATTGTAATGATGTGTGATCGTCAATTTGCATCTATAAAGAGGACTAAAGTTAAGAGAATATCTGAACCAACTTGGATAATCTCGCTGTCATTCCACTGCCTTAGTAAACTGTTTAAAACGGATTTGTTTAAAGCAACAGTTTCCCTGTCTGTCTCCTCAGTAGTGTAATTAATGTAGAGTACTAAAAGTGATTCATCTTTATAAAGATATTTTAAGATGTCTAAACACTGAATTTAAAGCGATCATATGGATAGTAGACATGTGCAATTTGTTTTGGAAAGACTCGTTATTCAGACGTATTTGCGGTATTCGGAGATTCAGATATATCCAAATCTCCGAATGACAGAAATGACGAATGCAAACGAATCCAAATTTCCGATAACTAAAAATGTTTTAGCTGTAGTATGTACGAATTTTCGTTTCCAGGCGAATTTTCATTGCAGTAAAGTGACACTTAGACAAAAGAAAAAAAATGACATTTTATTTTTTTTACAGTCTGCAGTAGAAAAAAAAAAGAGAGGCTCCCCTCCCGATTTATACCAGACCCTTTAGGTCTGGTAGGAATGTTAGGCGGAAACCCCCAAGTTAAAAATTTTAAAAAAGTGCGTGGGGTTCCCCCCAAAAGCCATACCAGGCCCTTTAGGTTTGGGTTTTTTTCAATTAAAGGATTTTTCTAAAAGTGTGGTGTGCTTATTCACACTTTGGTTTAACCCTTCAGTGAATGAGTAGGGGTACAAGTACCCCTACTCATTCATAAGGGTGTAGCGGCATCTGGGTACCCCCTTAATTAAAGGGGTACCCCAATGCAAATAAGCCCCCCTGCCAACAGACCCCCACGTCCACCGGGTCAGGGTTGTGGGGAAGAAGCCCTTGTCCCCATCGGCATGGGGACACCCTCCCAATGCTGAGGGCACGTGGCATGGTAAGGCGCAGGAAATGGAAAGGCACTCAATCGCCCCCCCTTTCCTGCCCTGCCCGGGCCTGTGCTCAGATCAAGGGTCTGGTAGGAATTTTAAGGGGAACCCCATGTTTTTTCCCCCATTTTGGGGGGTGGGGTTCCGACTTAAAATTCCTACTAGACCCTTGATCTGAGCACAGGCCCGGAAGGGCAGGAAAAGGGGGGGGCGATTGAGTGCCTTTCCATTTCCTGAAGGGTCTGGTATGAATCGGGAAGGGAACCTCACGCTTTTTGTTTTTTTTCTGCGGACTATAAAAAAATTTATTTTTTCTTTCTTTTGTCTAATGTCACTTTGCTGCAACAGAAATATGTCCGGAAACGAAAATTTGTACACACTACAGCTAACAAATTTTGTCCGAATCCCGAAACCAGTTGACTTTCGGACCCGAATCCAGAAAAACGAAGTAACAAAAAATCTGAATGAAAACAAAACTGAACAATTTTTTTGCCTGTGCACATGTCTAATAGACAGGTGCTGAAATTATTTTGTATTACTTCTAAATATCTATGCATTAGCAAATTCGAAGTTACATTCACATTTAAAAACATAAATTATATACATTAATATGTTGGAGTTAAGACTACTGTATCTGACAAAATATATTGCATATTTCAGTTCATTGTTTCCATATCAATTATATTAAGGTAAGCATAAGAGTAGCAGGGAGCCTGGGAGGGGGTTAAAAATGAAGTAAAAAAAACTAAATTGCTGGGAGGTATGGATTTTTGGCAGAAGGGACATGCAAAGTCTCTTCTGCCAAAAACATTCTTCCTTTGTCCCCAGTGATTTTTTTCTTTTATGTACACACTCAGCCCATTCACAGCATCTCTATGAGACCTTGAATGGGCTCAATGCCAAGGAGGATGTAACGCCTGTACACATGCGCAGGAGTTACATCAGCAGTAGCCATCCAATGGCCAAAGTGGATGCATAAGAAACCGGAAGTGGTGGCAGCAGATATGGCGGGGGCTGAGGACAGAGTGGGGGACCATAGACCATACATGGATCCAACAGTAGCATGCTTGCTACTGTTGGATCCAGAGCAAAAACACACCCTTCTTACTAGTGTTTTAACTACCTGCTGTCCGGCCGTTGTAGTTAAACAGCGGCCGGACAGCGGCTTCTTGAGGGCGGGCGGGCGTCTTTAGACGTCCTATCCCGTTCCGGTCGTGCCCGCCGCCAGGCGGCGGGCACGAGCGGGAAACCGGCTTTGAATGTAAACAGCCAGCGATGGCTGTTTACACACAAGTGTTTGGGCGTCTGTAGATACACCCGATCGCTTGTAATATCCGGTTGGGTGTGCGGGCCCCCCTCCGTTGCCGCTGAGCCCGGGACCAGCACAGCAGCTCTGCGGCCAGAGATCAAACGGAGCTCAGTACACGAGCTCCGTTTGATCTCCTCTCCTCTTCTGAATGCAGACAGTGATGTGTATTACATCACTGCCTGCATTCAGTGTCACTCTCCGGTACAGAAACCGGAGAGAAGCTGGTGAAGCAGGTCTCTGCTTCATCAGCTTCTCTGGGGGTCCCCAGGTGACATTAGGGGTCTTAAGACCCCTGATGTCTCCATAAAGAGGACCTGTCACTGCAAATTGGCTATCACATAGGGAGCTTGCTTGCTCCCTATGTGATAGCAATAAAGTTCAGTGGGGAAAAAAAGGTTTAAAAACATTTGTTACAAAAAAAAATCACATATCAAAGCAATAAAAAAAAATAAAGTCCCCCGCCCCCACAGGCACACGCAAACACGCGTCAAGCCCGCCTACGTGCGAAAACGCCGATTACATCCATTGCGCCGCACATGTTACATATCCCCGCGAACCTCGGAATGAGAGCAATAATTCTAGGGTCATCAATCACTGATAACACTAAACTTTAAAGTGCATTTAGAATTTAAAGACTGAACAGTAACCACATAGTAACTAGAAAAGGGTCATTTTGACTTTAGTATCTGTTGACCCTTCACAGAGAATCCCATCAACTCTTAGCTCCAATATAGCTAACAAATCCAATATTGGGTATTAAAGTGTCTAGTGAAGAGAAATTAAGTGATCCTGTGCTCTAAGCAAATAAGCCTGTGCAAGAGAAGTTTTGATACACATGCTTTTTCAAGTGACTGCAGGCTCACTTCACTGTACTTCACCTCACTTCACACTGCAAGACACTGATGTTTATGCCTCATTGCATATTTCAAGTTCTCAGATACCCAATGAATAATAATAGTTTGTGTCACCATGTTCAGATTATCTAGCATTGTCAACTGTCTTTATATTTGAGCTTCCAGAGCATTTAAATATTAAATAAAAAAAGTAAAATGATAAACAGATAATTTGATAGTTAGATAATGAACGTATGTTTTGTTAATGTTACATATATGACATTAAATGAAAACATCGATTTCTGGACTTTAAGTTTACTTGAGCAACCCCAAATTGATCCCATTGTTGTGGAAGTTTGTTGCTTTTTTTCTTTTAACCCCCCCCCCCCCCCCCCCCGGGTAGTTTTGTTTCCTTCTGTTGTTTGATTATTAGATTCTGTATTCAAATCTATGTTTGAAGTGAGTGTAACTATGCTAATAAGTAGCACAGCTATAGCCTATCAATTAAACTCATCTACAAGCACATTTCTAGTCAGGTTCATAAAAAAATTTTTAAAAACTTCTCCCACCTCTCTACTCAAGAGTGTAACTGCACAAAGAGCAGGCAGGATTAGATGATGGAGAGAAGAGACGAGCACATTTAAACTACTTACTGGCTAATGATGCATAAAATGTTATGACTAAGTATCTATTTTTTGATTTATTACTTTAATTATCCAACATACCATGGTCCCCCGTTAGCGTTTTTGGTGTAGATTTCAATTTTCTGTCTCAGGGTAAAATCTATTTATCATAATAATCCGTAAAATACAAAACCTTTTAACAGTATTTATAAAATTAATTTACCATGTTCAGCCCCCGGAGAATGACAAAGGAGTTATATTAGTATGTGCATGCTGAAGTATTTTATGTAAAATTATCTATTCGTAAGAATAATTAGAACTTCTTAAGACATTCATCTTTTTCTGTACTAAGAAGATATTTTCTCACCTATGCTGTGGTTTGATGGTGGTACTTGCTGGTTTGTGGGCTGTTGCACTTTTGTTCGAATGATCCTGCATTGAAGTGAATAATACAAAGTTACATAAAGTTCCATCCTTAAATTAAAGCAGTGAAAGCTGAATATAAATAAAATGATTTCAAAGAAAGTATTACAATTATTCAACACTTTCTGTAGACATACTATAGTTCATTAGTGAATTTCATGTTTGATTTGAGCAGTGATTTCTTTAGAATGTAGCCGTGGTTAGACAGTATAAGACCACTCAAGCATGATTTGTGTCAAATGGAGCTAGTCAAGTGGAGCTCATATTGTTACCACCAGAAAACCTAATGGTCATTTTTTACATTAAAAATAACCTGTTAAGACAGAATTATGGGTATTACTATAGCTAGCATGATATTGTGGGTCCATCCATTAGAGCCCGTTAACACATTAAGGCAGTCTTTTTGTGTGCATTTAATGAAAGCGCATTAATGTCTGTTATTTTGTCTGTTAACGTGTTGTGTTCAGACAGCCCATTTTTTAATGGGCTACCAATGAATGACAACAGATCAACAATCAGACCTGCTCTATTTTTTCTATTGCAGTGCACTGCGATGTGCTGCAATGCAGGTGCATTACTTTAGTGCATTGGGGTGCCGTCAAAAATGAATGGGACCACAGTGTTTTAACATTTGCCATGTATTGCGGTAACATGCACATTTGCACAATGCCCATGTTTGAATAGGTCCTTAGGGCATGTGTTGACAGGCTTTTGTTCTTTTCAGTACTGCTTTTTATGCCAATACATATCAAAGGGAATGCAAAAGCAGCTAGAAGCAAGTTGATGCAGCTTTGAAGTAAACTGAAAATTAGAAGGAGGTATAGTGCAGGTCAATTTGCCAGTGAAGGTCTATTCGTCAATGAACACTAAATGTACACAGAATAGCCCTAAAATCCAAAGCCCGTCAACACAAGTCCTAACCCTACTTTACTGACCTGGAGAATACTGTGCCTACTAGGTGTCCTAACATGCTTCTTTCAGTTCAGTGACTAAACAAGTATTGAAGAAAGGCTTGGGATAAACAGTCCTGCAACTTGTACCTCTCAAAACAAGTCAGCAAGGCAGCTCCTATAGTCTACCCTGACAGGTTTCTCTAGTTATAGAGATGACCACTGAAAGATACTGCCTTCCATGTTATCAGGTGTTCAGAAATGAAATTACTGGTCAGTATCATGAGTAACCTAACTACACAGTTGAAGTATAATTGTTTTGCCTGGCAAAAGATTTATAATTGTTATCAAATTTTGAGATTCATTCCCCACTGCCACGTTGGTGTCTTTGTCACTTGCTGACTATACACTGAATCAGCATCCTTACAACTAACTCATGGAATGCACAGGCAGCTGGGGCATGAAGCTGCAGAGCTGAATTAGGAAACAGAGGTTTAAATTAAATAAATGCGGAAAGGAGCAACAGACCAAAAAATCCAAGATCATTTAAATTGTTGGTAAAATAGGTCATATAAATACAGCCAACATGTTTCGGGAGCAAACCACTCTTCCTACATGGGGGCTCAATACTGGATAAAACCTGAATGGATTCAGAGGAAATAGTGCCCCAATAGATCTATATTAGTCCCCATAGAACCACTCATCTACCAGCAACAAAAATCATGCCACCCAACTATGCCAATAAAAGATTTCTACACTACGGAAGGCGACCCCTTGGCTTTTTTTTTCTTATCAAATCTATATTAGTACTTAAATTATACGTGGAATAACAAAGATTTATTGCTATCATCATCAACGCTTATACAAAATAACATCTCATGCATCTTTATGCACAGCAGAGTCATGCAATGTGGTTTGATGCATTGCAACATGCTGTGCTGAAAAAAGGGTTGTGAACTAAACTCATAGAACTCAAAGCAAATTGCCTTGTCTATGCATTTTGAGTGCACAAGGCTGCCCAGTGCAGCCCAACACATATGGTGTGAATAGTGCATTAACTCTACTAAGTCAGGACATTTAGTTTGAGTACCAAATGACAGGATCTGCCAGATCCAAACTCTTAAAAGTCTTATTAGACCATATATAAATACTGATACCACAGCTCAAGCTAATCAGTGGATCTGTCTGTGCAGGACAACCTTTTAATACCACAACATGAGATAACATTTGCACTAATATAGTAACATATAAATAGCAATCAAGATAGCGAATTTAAGCTATTAAATTCTTCGGGGCATATTTATAAAGCAGTGAATGCGACAGTCACCAAACATTCCTGCAGATGAATAATTTTCCTTAAAAGAGAGAACATGCACCTGGAATATACACCTGCAGTAAATTTTTGGCGAAAGCCACATTTGCTGCTTAGTAAATAACTGGGATTTTTTAACAAAAATATAAATCCCTAGAGAATACAAATAGCATAGTAATAAATAGTAGCAGATGTTAACCTCTATTAAATATCCTGGGGAAATGTTAATATTATTTTACAGATTTGGGTTGTAATATTGTTTCAGTACTTCATACTTGGCAGATAATGGTAACACAGACATATCTGGATGAAATGTAAAAATAAAAACCATATTGACTGAACAAGTCTCCAGCTTATATGATAATATCTCAGAATACTAAATTGTGATATTTTGTTTGTTGACGTGTATCTAAAGAATTATGCAGCCCATTTCTAAACTCCCATAAAAAAGGATACATTCTCCCTCAAATCTGTTCAGAAAATTAGTTCCGCATAACAGTTAGGTTTAGTGTAAAATCATGCAGAATTTTGCAGAAACATTATATAAATAGAGTACGAGTAGATGTTTGATTCAGTGAAACTATGAAAATCAGCCTAGAAATTGGTTTAAGAGCCACCGGAGTGTAGTGAAAGTGGTGATTTTACGCATCAAATGCAGCTAAGCAATCTGAATTATCCATAATACTGTGTTTATTTAAAACTGTGGGAGTAGCTAAGGTTTATACATCTTTTTATTGGATGTTTATGGCTAGCACAGTCACTTCAAAATACGCCATTTTGCAAGAACCCCCTCTAGTGTAAAATGATTGAAACTGCAGTGACTACATGACCATTGTAGCACAAAGGATATTGGATTTAATAAATCATATTGTGATGTTAAAGGTAGTGAGATATGTGATATTTTCTACATTTACACTGCCTCAGGAGATATACAGTAGTAAACTGTGCAGTTGCTTTTATATTTTTTTGTATAATGTGTTTTTATTGCAATTTTTCAAATAAAATAATGAATAAACACAGTGTCAACAGAGGCTGCAGTTTGACAAATGGTACAAGTAAGACAGTGTTAAGAGAATGTTTCCTTTGCTGGGGAGAAAAGACAACTACAATGGAACAACCAATCCTAGGGTTCACAGTAATAAAGTTTGCTTACAATTCTGCAATAAACATTATAGAAATCCAACAACAATTGTCAGGTATGGGTACCAAAAATGTTGCACAGGGTTAATAAACTGTCAAATCAAATTTGGCAGAAAGGTATAGGATACAAGGAAGGAAGTAATAGGGGTAGGCAAGCATAGTCAAATGGGGGAACTCTACAGGGAAGGGTTGGGGGACATTTGAGTCTCAGGGGAAAAGGGGAGGGAAGGGAAGCATAAGAAATGGAAGGCTAAGATAAAATTGCAAATGAACATAAATGATCCAATAGTCAAAAATGATATTCAAAATAGTAGACCATCTCCCCTCAGAGATATATGGCAACAAAGAGTACATGCAGTGAGGATAAATTGTGGAGACAGAGTTTCACAGTATAGCCAACAAGAGGTCACCCATCAGGATCGAAGACTCCAGTGATTACAACAAAATAGTTAACTGCACTGAATAGTATATCCAGCTACCCCATATGTTATATAATGTATTATATTTATTTTGTCCCATAAAAACCCACCTCTCTGCATCCATAAGGATATCCACAGCTGTTTTCCAGTCTCACAAGGTAGGGGATGCTTTTATTTTCATCTTAAACTGTGTATCTCAATAACTAAGTCCTTATAGTTGCTGGTTATCTTCTCTTCTAAAATGTCCCTGACTCCAACTAAAGAGTGGACCATGGTTTCTTCAATGGTCTGCCTCTGAGACCAATAAAGCTTTGCTTTCACAGAGTGGCATACCTCCCAATTGTACCTCATTTGGAATCAAATTCCTCTGTCCCTCTTTCCTCCTCAGGTGTCCCTCTTTTTAGTCTGATATACAGATATCTATGAGAAGGATAGGCTAGTAGATAGACTGATCTTTCAAAGGAGGGGCATGCATGACCAAACATAATTAATATTTTTCTTCTTTTAAAAAAAATTACATTATAATCTATGGATATACATGATTGCACAGACTTTTTATAGGCATTGTCGCACATACTTGGTTACAATGTAGGCATGTTTTATGTTGGGGTTTTTTTTTGCTACATATTGTGTACTCAGAAATTTATGCTGTCTTTGTATGTTTTCTATGCTCTTTTAGCCCCAAAGGAGGAGGCACTTTGGAGGAATTGATCGAAACTGGAGCAGACAGAATCTTGAGCAGTTGTCCATAGTAACCAATCAGCATCTCTCTTTTATTTTCAAAGCTTAACTGAACAAACTGAAAAGAGAAGCTGATTGGTTACTATGGGGAACTGCTCCAGATTCTGTCTGAACCAGTTCTGATAAATTCCCCCTTTTGACATTTATTGTCTAATAAAACTACTTGTTTGGCCAAATGAAGGCTTCCTTCATACCTCATGACCCTAATTATTGGTGGTGCTCATGAGTTTCTTCTTCAGATTAAATTAGATCACGGCTGTCAGTATATACAAATACCTTAAAAAATATACCAAATCATTTACAACATTTTATAAAACGTATTATTTACAGGAAACCTGAACTGGCAGAATTATAAAGGGTGCCATTGCTGGTCACTGCTTTCTGAATCTGCTGGTTTCCTGACTGCCTCTGGCTTTATTACCCTTTGAGCCTTGGACCAGAAACCATTATTTTCATCAGGTGTTCTGATCTAACTTTACGCAGGCTTTTCTTGGTTAGTAAAATAGGGCCCTAGACATGTTGGATCAGCATAACAGTCAGGCAACTAGCATTGTCTGAAGCAGTTTAGCAATGGCAGATTTTGTATTTGTCTCAGCACAAGTGTCTTTAGAGATATTATATGCTCTAGCATATAAGGAGCACTGGTGGAATGAAAAAAACTATTTGAAACTAAAAGCAAAATTGAGAATAACCATTTACAATTTAGATACAATGGATTTAGAATCTATGTGGGGTGCCAAACCTAAAGCTGGCCATACACCTTACAATTATCTGCAGATTTTCTGTGGTCAGATGTAAAAAGTGCAACAGATTGGCCCAGGTGGAGATTACTCCATCCACACAGCTTAGCGTAGATAGAGGAATCTGTTGCACCTTTTCCATCTGACCACAGAAAATCTGCAGATAATTTTAGGGTATATGGCCAGCTTCCCTCCTGGTGACTGTACAAAGAAGGAGAAACAGTATACAGAGGAGCTTATCTATCTGTCATGCAGCTCTCCTCTCCTATCAACATGTTACTTGCACAGCCACACATTTGATTGTCTCCTTGTGCTGCTTCCTACTACCACTCTCTGAGCTCGGCTGTGTAGACTGCACAGAGATCGCTTGAGGCTGATGCCAAGTTTAATTCAGGTACTTAAACTGCTTGTATTTAAAAAATAATAATAATAGTGAGCTGTATTCATTGACCCTGAAGTTTTGAAACAAGGCTCAAAATGACAGCCAAATAATTAGCATTTTCAAAAAGAGGTTTTAGCAGTGGTAACCTATTTGTTTCTCTCATGACAGGTCTTCTTTATATATGATAGGTCCAACATAAGATTCCATTGATCTGGTTAGCATGAAAATGACCAATCAACTTTTCAAGCAACATCTAATTATATGGGACAGACCTCAGGCACTGGAAAAACATGTAAAACCTCAAAGCAATAAACATTCCACCTGTTCGTTTCCCATGTTGATTACATAATGTACAATTTACAGGCTGTCACCCCAGTATTCTACAGATTTATGTTAGTGCAGCAAGCCTATCATAAAAGGTTATATTGGTTAAAGTTTAGCATATGCATAATGAGGAGTGGCGGTGTGAGACAAGCTAAAAGATATATTACTCCAGTCATACCTGTTTATTGAGCTGACGCTGGGCACTGTGTCATTGTCACATACTCGCTCTGCTAGCAGTCTGTCCCTGATCTCCCATGCAAACATAGTGGGGTTTTGCCTCTTGTAATCTGCGATTTTGTCCACAACTTTGGGGGTGGCAACCTTTGGTTTCGATCCACCAATTACACCAGGTTTAATACTGCCAGTTTCATAGTACCTGCAAAAAAGAAGGTCGGTATGTTTTTTTTTTAAAACAAACAATCAATATTATAACTGACAAAGGACACAATAGAAGGATATGTCATAAGGGGAATTTTGGAGTGTAAAATAAATATCCATTCATTCAAAATGCATTCACAACTCACGGTCTATATGACAAAAGGCATGTAAGGAATGTCATTCTGATAGATCTAGCAGCATTTTCTAAAATTGCACAGTGGAGCTTAGCATGCAGTTTTCTCGTGGAGTAAGAATAAATATGAAGATATGATAAAGGTATAAGCTTGTAAAAGCACTGCCTATTAATCAAACACGGTCATGGGAAACAAATCACATTTAAGGCCATTTTCACTAAACACGATGGCAGCCAATTGTGTTAGCTGGCAAAATGCACTTACTTGAAGCGGTTTCCCTTATTGATGTGGTAATTTCATAAAACCAGCCAGTAGAAATATTTCTGGACTATAGATATTCAACTATTCAACTGTTTTGTCAATACAATTTATTTATGCCATTGAATTGTCATTTTGACCACAAACGTAAATGTGTTTTAATGTATGAACTCTTTTTTTTATCCTGCAAGATTAAATTTTTTTATGAGATTTTAATCAGTTGAGCAAAAGACAGAAAAAGAAGCTAGCATTTAAATTAATACTACTTGGACCTATGCTTATATAACTATACTGTGAATCTCCAACAATGTAATTTTCATGAAATGAGCACATCACCCAGGCCTAAACACGTGGCAGCAGGCAAACTGAACAGGGCTATATGATTTTGAATCCTATAAATAGTGTATTTATTCTTAAATTAAGTCATTTTTGAACATCTGTGGCATGGAGATACTGAAGCTGTCATTGGCACTTTCTTGCACTGACCACCTAGTTTTCCCTGTCTTCTTCGGCTGGGTTTGGCACTGATTCTCTCATATAATGGCTAATATTTTTGGCAAAAACAAGATTTCAAGGGGTTAACTTAGTGCTAAGGTTAAGTTAGGGTTATGGGTTAGAGGTTAATGTAAGAATAGGGTTAGATTTTAGGTTGTAAAAGTTCTCTTAAGTTTTAGGGTACAGAAAAGTGTTAGGGTAAGATCACATGTTGAGGCCGAACTTCAGCAGAAAAATAAATATAACAAATATGCTGCTCAGCACAGTCAACAGTAAATACTTGCAATACTCCACTTTAATCAGGGATTGTCTCCCAGAGAACTTCTTTCTGTCACAAAATGTCCTCGGTCCTTTTCGTTGAATGATATCCAGTGTCATTCAACCCACTTCCACTGACCCCAGGCTGTCATGGGCCCACCCAAGTGGGTGAAGTCATCATGCAGCCTGTGCTCAGAATACTACTGCACTCTGGGCTGGATTAAGGGGAAATAATTCCCTAAGCTCAGCCCAGCAATGGTACCCTCCTCAGCACCTTCATTGCTTAACTGACAACAAATTAAGGCTCAATTGCTTGATTTTGGGCATAGATCAAAATGAAGCAGCTGACTTAAAACTTTAATTTAGAAATGATGAGGGAAGTCACTTCTTTGATAAATGATAATTAAGAATTAAGAAGTCTATAGGGTGCTCATCTATCTTCATCTGGTAGCCAAGAGACCAAGGTAGAGGAGCCCCACAGAAGTCTATGGAGCTGTAATACGCTTGTGCAGCCAAAGGAGACAGGACTTGCAGCGCAGGATGTCAATAAACAATGGAGGCCACAATAGTCAGATCTCAGTAAGTATACATATATGGAGTGAGGGGGTGGGCTCAGTTAGCTTAAAGAGGCAAAAATGATAAATACATTTTATTTTAAAGTGCACTTATCCTTTAAGGGCATTGTAGCTAATGCTGTGCCCCCTTCCCTTGGCATGTGGCTTATTTTGCTTAATGGTTAAAGTGATACTAAATACTAGGCATTTTTAACTTTAATGCATTAGCATTAAGGTAAAACATGTCCCAGTGTTTCCTGTGTGTCCAAAGTTATTATGTTTCCTTATGACCACCATTGGCTCCAGGTTCCACTTCCCCAAACTTTGGAGTTGTGGAGCATGCTCTCACTGTGCTCTAGAGAACAGAGACAACACATGCTCCAGCTTATATCAGGCACACAGGGAGAAGGGGGCTATGTGTGTCTACAAATGAAAAAAAAACCTCCACACTGCCAGCTGGGAGCGTGCATACAGAGATGTCTCCATGAGTACCTGCAAAGCGATGGAGACACCTGAAGACATGCACCAAGGAAAGTTAAGGGTTTTGCAGATCGTACATTTAAAGCAGCCACAACCTTAAATTGAAAACATGGCAAGGTTAATGCCGAGGTCTGCTGCACTATATTATTTTTTATAGAAAGGATTAAACACTTTAATCCAGCCCTGACTACACTAAACAGCATTCACATATCCTAACATCACAACACCTTATTACTGCAGTAAGGACCACCCACCATTGCTGCCAGAGAAAAAGAGGAAGGACCTGTTCTGTCAATTAAACAACCTGAAGAGTCTTTGAAAAAAGGTATGTGTGCTTGGATTACAAAAAGCGTGGGCAGGGGGAAGGGCTTAAGGTAGGGGGTAGACTAAAGCTAGACTTCATATTGAAGGGATAGGTTTCAGAGTTAAAGAATTATTTTAGGGGTTGGGTTAAGTTTTATTGTTCAGGAGATAGGAGGATTAAGTATAAGGGGTGGCCTAAGGTTAGCTTCAGATTAGGGGTCATGGGGATGTGTGAGTTTAGATTTAAGCTTAGACCATTAGAACGTTAGACTGTTAGACAGTTGTCATTTACTGGTGCCAGATTCTCAGAGCTGGCGACCAACATATCTTGTTAATCTTGCTTCATTATTTAGTTAGTCAGTGACCTCAAACGAGTATGCAGATTAGTGTTCTAGCTTCATTAGCTGCATGCTTGTTTTGGGACATTGACTTACTGGGCAAGGATCAGTATGTACCTTTAAAAACAAGACAGCAATGATAGCTCCCTTATTTCTGCTCTACACTAACATTGCTACTTTAAAATAGCATTATACATAGGACCAATATAAATTATTTATATATAATTAATATGCCTTGCCTATTGTATTGTACATAGCAGCTCTTAGGAGCACACAAGTCTAAATTCACACAGACCAACCGTGAACTTTCTAGAGAGTTCAAAAGACATAAGGCAGTAACGCAGCATGTTTATTATGAAGTCAATTCATCTTATAATTGCATTCATTTTTTTAATGACATCTCTGATTACAGAGCAATATTATTTGGTAAACTAAGACAGGGTTTCAATGTAATTAATAGTTATAAAAATAATGAGCTATGAAATTCCAATTTATTGCTGACAGCTTAAATGAAACAAATCAACATGCTCAACTTCAGAATGCCAACTTATTTAAATGTACCATTCTTGTCCTGTAGTATTTTGGTCATGCCTAACTTGAACAAAGAAATATTGTCTTGTACATAAGGGTTGGATTACTGCGCTACTCAGTCACCACTGTTTGCTTTTTCTGGTCTCAGATTCTACACAGCCAGACTTTGCTCTCATTGGCTGTATCTAAATGATTGAGTCACAAACATTTTACTAAGTTCCACTAAGATATCATGAATTTTATACTAAGAAGCAGTAAAACAGAGGTGCTTTGTAGGTATATTGTAATTTATACCTAGATTTATACTTATGGTCCCTCAGGCCAACTGTCATATGCCCTAGCGAGGACCTAAACTAAGTTTTCTCTGCAAGCTCAGTAAGCTGAACCTAACAGAGGTCAGATCACTCACTATTACATGCAAATGCCCTTGTCCATAATTGTTTTGGACACTAACGGGGTTATTCAAAAAAGGGTGAAGAGTTTGGAGAAGGCAGGAGAAGTGAACAATCTAGGACAACATAACTGATTTGGAAAAATTCTCCAATTCAGCTCACTTTCCAGTTCAAGACATTCCAGTTGTCCTAGATTGTTCACCTCAACCTGCCTTCTCCAAACTCTTCACCCTTTTGTGAATAACCCTGTAAAAGACACTAGTGGGTCATTGGCGGGCGATCTGCTAAATTTGGGAGCCTATGAGCATTTCAAAGAGCCAGTTAGGGGAAAAAGTAGTTATAGGTTAGAGTCACATGAGTGGTTTTTTAGTAGCTCGATTAAGATGCATAAAGATAATAATAGTAATCAATCTCTAAACTGATGGGAACAAATATATTCTTATGTTCTAAGTTACACAAGTAGTGCTGGAAAATCACACACAATTGGACATTGTAAGATCGTGAAAAATGAATTGTTACTATGTTCCACTTGTGTAGTATTCAACATAGGGAGCCATATTTTATTCATATCTGTTTAGGGACTGAGAGCTAGTCTAAGTAAATATTCACTAGCAAATTTATTAGTTCTAATGAGTTCCTAAAAACTGCCCTTGTAGCTCTAGACTTACATTTTTTATTTCTCCATAATGTATCTGGTTTATACAGTCTGTTGTGCTGTCAACACCTAAATTCATAATTTCCACTGAAATGTTTTTTAAGGAGAATAAAGTCTAAAATCTAAGGTAATATGACTGAGTTCAAAATAATATGTATCTCAAACAGAGTTTAATCATTATTATCAAAATGGGCTAGTGACCAGACAGCTGTTAGCACATCTGAATGCCCCAGTATTTGGGCTTATGAGGCTTTCTGCAGAAAATATACAGAGACACATACTGTAGTTACCTTGAGGTCTTCTTGGGCCTGATTGGGCCTTCTTCCATTTTGGAAGAAGGCTCAATCAGCTTTCCTGACCCAAACCCCCTCCGCCCATTCCGTGTAGTTTGTAGCTCACCAGATAGTAGTCAAGTAGAAAATCATTAACAAAATTAATTCACAAATGGATTATTATGTCTTAAATTAATTTAATGTATTGTTTTATTTTTAATTTTCCCTGTCTAATGAAAGCCCAAAAAAACCTTAGTCTGTGATATTAACATCATGACTAGTATTACATTACTGTGGCAGCTTTGTTCAATATGTTGACATATTTCATATAGTGTGTATTATTTTTCATAAGCTGCATTCTGTTACCTGCCAAGGATCTTGCTGACACATCCATGGCTGACCCGTAGTTGCCTTGAGATGTCACACGGCCGTACACCTTGATGGGCAAGTTCCACAATTCTTTGACGTACTACATCAGGAAGGGGTCGCCCATTTACAAACACACCACCTAGCTGATTGACTCCTCCATGTCCTTGGGAAAAAGAACAAGAGAAAGTACAATTTATTTGATATTTATTTGATATTAAACTCACTGTTATTTTGTAAGTGTTTAATTTAATTTTAAAATGAGAATCTTAAGATGTGCCTTCCAAATGAAAATGTATGTAAGTCAGAATGTACTTAAGCAAACCACACCATAGGCTTTATACCCAAAAGGATAACACTTACAGTATTTTTATTGTCATGCATTGTTTTCTTTTCTTTCAATCAAATTATTTTTGAAATCATATGAAGGTGCTAATGCACCAATTAAATGATTTTATAGCACATTCACTATATTTATCACATCCATGATTTATGGATTTTATTTTTATAGACAAACATCACAAAAGCTATTATCCTTAAAATACCACTAGATTCAAGCTGCCAATAACTCTGATTCAGTGAAGATTGTACTAAAAAGAGCCATTTGAGGGGGTACAAAAAAATAATTTTCTGAGCTATAACAATTTATTATATATATATAAAAAAATGGGTAAGCCGTATTAGTCCAGTAGACAAGACGTCAAAAAAAACAAAAACGTAGTATTGCAGTGTGCAATGATACCTTTCTTATTGGACTAACAAAATATATAAAAGATTTTATATATAATTAAAAAATATGGTTTCCAATTGTTAATTGCCCATTTAATTTGAAAAAAGTAACAACTCCACACCACAGCAATGTTGAAGCAGATCTCCAGCCACAAATAAATATATCAAAAAAATAATAGCCCATTTAAAGATTAAATACTTAAATCAGCTTTTGATGCAATATCCACCTTCAATTCAGAGATTTTCCCCATAGTGCTTTTTTTCTGCCACTAGATGTCCTCACTCTGGTGGGCTGCATCATTTATCTCTCTTCCTCTGAGCCCAGATTATGAGCTTCCTCTGACCCACCCCAGCCTATGACTAAACAGTGAGAGCAGAAGCAGCTCATCTTTCTGTCACTCCACTTTCTTCTTCTATCAGCATGCTTCTAGTCAGCACATGAACTGATTTGCTCTTAGTACTGCTGCTTTCTTTTACACTCCAACCCTGCTGTACAGGAACTGCAAGATGCTGATATCAGCTGCATTCATTTATGTATTTTATATCTGTTTTAATGTATGACAATGGAACATTTTGTAGGAGAAAATTAAATTGAGATAAAATACTAAGTGAAGTTAACATAGTTTAACCATCTTAGTGAATTGAATCATGTAAGTAATATAAACTTCCCTTTTTTATATAATGTATTGAACTTCCGTTTTTTACAAAATGTATTGAATTAAATAATGTTGCACTATGGCATGAGGCTAATGCTGAGATCAGCTGTTTTTACAAATGACTGAAAAACAGAAAGTGTACAATCAGGTCCCATCTTGCATTTTCTCATTCATTTGCTTTTCACATGCTTTTATTTTATACTCTGTTATTTTATTTTCTATTCATGAACCTGCTATGTTGAGTACACATGCAATAAACCAAAACAATAGAGGTGAAGTGCCTATGAAGTAATTCCTGATGTTATACAAGTACCAGATTGTGTTTTAACTCTCTGTGCCTAATTGGTCAGAAAACAGGAAAGTAGATTATATAAAAGTATGTGACCCTGACAAGAAAGCTAATAAATTAGCAAAGGACAGAATGTTAGTAAAGGGTAATAAAATAGAATTGATTTTGAACAACTAAGATGTTTCTATAGATTCCTATAAATACTACAGAAAAATAATACAGCTGGTTTATTTTAGAAAAAGAGATATCCATCTTCCATGTAGAACAGTAGAAATGCTCTCACAATTTTATGGATCCCCCTAGATTAACACTCATTAAATTAAGGGGAGCTGCATGTAATAATGGTGCAGTATGCAACATTATAGTCCAAGATAATGTTAAACAGCATATGTTGTGAATAACACCTGTATGTTGACAGCATACTACCTTACTACTAAAGCATATTAAATATATAACATAGAATATTATTTATTAGAATTGCTTTATTTTCATGTTTTTCAACTGAAGTTTTACTATTGTTTTTACTATGTCTATGCAATCTTTTTTTTTACAAATAAAAATTGAATATGGGACAATGGTTTCCCAGAGCACTGTGGATTATGAAAAAAGAAAGCACAGCAGATGCATTGAGGCACTGCTTTGTCTGACTACAACCTCAGATGGAGCCCGATGGAGTCTGTGAAGAGTTGGATAAATTCTGATAACTCAACTGAAGGTTTTGTTCAAAGAGTAGTGTGACCATTAATACTTTTAGCAAGGCACTCACAAGCCTACAACAGAAGAGTGAGAGGTAAGAGCAGCAATGCACATTTTACACATGTCGGTATACAAATGGTGTTGATATGCCCATTGCCTCCAGTCTCTTCCATGTTCCTATTGGCCCATCGCTGTATTAGGCAACCTTTTTGGACAACAGGAATATGCAGGGTGGGTGGGGTGGAGCCGGCACTTGCCACTACTAAGAAATACTAAAACTCGCAAGCAACTGTTCCTCAGGGTTTGAGGCTACAGAAGGGAGCATCTAAATGTATGTGGGGAGACTATTCAGTGTTTGCGCTGTAGCACTGCAGCCAATCAGTATTATTTGATTATCCCTTTATACCTTTTTGGCATGTTAAGTCATTTGGTCACCTGAAAACAAAATCCAGTTACATAATTTAAAAGGTATTATGCAGGCTGCTGAAGGAAGACACATATAATTTTTTTTTAAAAAGCTAGAGACTTGAATGGTATAATGAAGTTCAATGACACATTCTACAGTAATGGTGTACATGGATGTCTTTAGTAGCATGTTTATATTGGCCCCTTCCATATATCATTTTTGGTAATGTAAACATAGAAACTATCTCACCATAACATCTTACCATAATTAATGGTAAGATGTAAACTGGAACTAAAAAAGATACCTACAGCATACACGTTTAAGCTCATATCAGCTAATAAAATTATACGTTTCCACAGAGATGCATTAAAGACAGTAATAAGGTAGTAAGAGGAAGATGAGGGTATCTGTGTAAATATCCTTATAATTACCAGTCCTATGGAGGACTTACAGGCAGAGGAAGAGCAGACATTTGTTAAGTGTATGACAGGAAGGTCAAATGCATCTCAGCTCCATTTTTTAAGCATGAACAATTACAACACTTATCCCATGAGGTGAGCGTTCTGCAGGGATCTATTAGGCAAAGCAGAGGATTGTCATAGACATTTTCAGACATGTCTGTGAAGTTCTACAAAGTAGAACAATTAGTGAGAAGTGACATACAAATGAATCATACTAATGTCTACCTTCCTGTCATAAAATAACACGTGATTACTTGAACTGGTACAATACTGAATAACTGCTAAGAAGCAGGATGATATTCTATAAAGAACGTCCAATTTAAATTGTACATAATATGATGTCCCACTCCTCCATGAAAATAATATAAGCTGATTTTTCACCTTTTACCTTGTGCTGAATCATAGTCAGAAGGAAAATCAATTTATGTATCTTCTGTACTAGAGCATTTAGGAGTTCATACTCACACATTTCAATGTCAGTATTTATGCAAAGGCCCTAATAGGACAAATACAAGAATAACTGTGGTTTTGATATAATATGTTTATTATGTTTGCTTGCCCTTTCTTTTAACAACTTCCTGGATTCCCGCATGCTTTTCAGATTCTCTTCTGCTCCTTTAGTAGACTTTCAATGCTGAAGCACTACATAACCCATGTTACCTTGCTGCCTTCAAGCAACAATGATGTGCCTCCTAAAACTCCTCCTCTATCACCTCTGTAGTTCAGATGGCAGGCTCTGTGAAATGGGTGCATAATCACAGGGAATAGTGAATATGCGTGACTGCATTCAAGGAAGAAAATATTCTTCACCTAGTGAGTTTGTAAACTTCAAGATTATTCAGATTAATAGGTGTAGGCTAGAAATAATTGAAATTCAATGTGGAAATTATTATTTGATTTTACATTCTGACCATAGATACACTTTAGAGTGAATGTCAATCTGAATTAATTTTTTTCTAATTTTGGATAGAGTGGGGAAGGACCAAAACCTCTGTTGGGTTTTTCATTGCTATCTGGGACTCAAAAAAGGCAAGCGGGGCAAATAACTAGTAACCAGTATCGCTTGCGATCTTCCTGCAGCTGATCTTTTCCCTGTAAAAAAAAGAATCTTGGTGGAGGAAGGACTTTTCAGAGCTGCCTCTTATTAACTTATGATCTGATGACGGATAGAGGAATAATCAAGAAGCAGCAGCAAGACAACAGTGAGTATCAACTCACATAAGACCAGCAGGCATACGGTGCCTTCGATTCTTAGACTGCAAATAAACAACTATGATATAAGAAGCACAAGAGGTCTACTTCTATATTTCAGGAGAAATTCAAGACAAAATATAACATTTTCAAGGTATGCTGAGACACTGTTGAAATTTCTAGGTGTTCCCTATTACATAACAAATGTTTTCATTCAGATCCACTTTAAGAGCCATTTTGGCTCTCCTGCGGTGCACGTGCACTGACAGGGAACATAATGGCAGGTGCAGAGGGCAGCAACTGTTCCTTGATTGCTCAGGCTGTTTTTGATCAGTGTAGCTGACCAGCTTGATTTGCTGCTACAGTGGAGGTCACAGATCAATCTTTGCAGCCTGACAGTGTTTTAATTTTTTAGTGAGCTATTTACCTGTTAAGCTTTGATTACATTTTGCTGTGCATTTCACAACTTCATTGTAACTGGCAAAGGCTGCTATGGTGCATCTTAATTGGAACAGTTCCTTAGTTCATCTGCAGTACTTGCATGCATTAGCTATGTATCCACCACTTAAGACCACTCAAGTGATAGGAATCCGTATTGGGTTTGTCCAGGAATGAACAGGTCAGTGCTTGACTATCTCAGAACCTCCAACGTTCTCCATTACATATATAGTAAATGGCTTCTTGCTTTTATTTGAAATGCTTCTTTTTCCAAAAAAAATGTATTCACTTGCAATGTGC